TTTTTGATTGTAAATTTTTTTCTCAAAATTGTCGTTGTAGCACAAAAAGTTCAGTGACTAAGTGACTTGCACCATATATATATACACAAAACGTGATTTAAGTTTGTAGAACATCGAAATCCTTCTATATATGAAAAATTATTACTGAAATTGGTATTATTACCCGATCTCATTGCATTTTTTCAAGTGTTAAAATAAGTTTATTTGGACGTATCACATTAATTTATGATAAGTATTGGGTATAATCCTAAATATTTTTTTTTGTATCTGCACAATTTGCATAATCTGTGATTTTAGATGTGTAACCAAAAAGTATAAAGTTTTCCCGTTACTCCAAAATTATTTTGTTGACTTTTACTAGAGAATCAACCATTTTAAATTCAAAAGACGCTTTTCCCTTAAAAGAAGACAATCATCTGCTCCATTAATATAATGAGCTCTCACAACATACTCAATTTCCATTAAAACAAATATGACGCAATGTTTGGATCAACTCAAAGTAGAAACAGTAATGAGTCGGAAATATTAAAAGTAATCTCAGGTTTAATTGTTCAAAGGATAAGTATTACAGCAGATGATTGTGGATGTGCTGCTGGAAATGATTTTTTTAGTCTTGGTGAATTTACTAAATCAGCTGCAATAGAGCACACCTTATGACCGTTAATAATACTACAACTTCTCAATTGATAATTAAAAGTAGAATATTTCTTTTTGGAAATATCATATGCTTTTATTTCAGGTGTATGTATGTTGAAGGCTTTATCAAGTTTTATTCTAAAATGAAACAAAATACATGTATTGTTCACATAAATGGGAGAGATGTGGATTTGGATATGAAAAAATAATATTTTGTAGCAAGAAAGAGAAGATAAATTTCGTTTATTTCTCAGTTTGGAAAAGAAACATCATTCTAGGATTTATTTCCTCTTTTGCCAGATAGGATTACTGGTTTAGATTTTGGTTCGCATACATAATTCGCCACTCTAATCCTAGCACAATTTGTGTGACAAATAGGCTTTGTGTTTTGTAGAGATCAGGAAAGTGACAACAAATTGGGATATATACATAGCAGCTATTCATGTAAAGGTTCTATATGCTCTTTGATACCATGAGATAAACAATATCTAAAAATATTGATTCCCTGGGAATGAATCTTAGATGGACAAAATAAGCTATACAACCAACACAATTCGATGCTGGAAGAACAAGTTCCTTGTGGTCAAGTAGATTTCCCCTTTGAACCTCTGGTAGAAAGACCTTGATCGAGGCCGCAAATTCATAAATAACAAGCTGTTTCAAAGTACAAAAAATGTAGATAATAATATTAATAATAATTAATATATGGAAACTTCTTAGGAAGTAACTTGCGGAATTTTGGCGGCTGCGACGAGAGATTTACAAATAACTACCCTAAAACATCAAAGGATGAGTACTAATGTAAAAACATTCATCACCATACAATTTCCACAAGATTTTATAATAAGTCATATTGTTTACTTAAAAATATTACTAACGAACAGAGATTTACTGAAAAGGAAGACATTTTCAAAATATTTGGCTTATGACAAATAATAATTCTACCAAAAGTTGTATGGGAGGAAAATATGCAAGTTGTAAATACTGTAACAATAATAATAATAATAACATCAATTCAAATATTGTATGGGTCACATTTCGAACTTTGCACATAATTGTTCAAACCAACCTTATTTGCCATCATGTAATAATTTAATTTTATATACAGTATATAATCACTGGAATGAAAAGTACTCTCATTTGAACAATAATAATAATATCCGGTTATTAGTTAAGACTATGTCCAAGATATTGTATATTGTATTATGCCTTAATAATTGGACCAAAAAAATTGGACGGAGGAGGTTTATTTACTGATGATAACAACAACCCTATTTTTTAATAGACATTTAATATCCTATATCAAATTATAAATCGGATACGGGCCTAATTAATATTAATAATAATGACTTTTTGACCATTACGGCACATCATATTGTTAGGGCTTTGTGAAATTAAATATACTAACACAATTAAGGGGACATTTTAATAAAATTTACTGTTGTCGATTTTATTCCATTCCCTTTTTAGAACATCGAGCAATTTATTTATTTTTTAAAAATTCTCTTCATAAATGTTCAAGTCAGCAACAGGGCAACAACGAATTATTTCAATATAATTACTGTTTAACACCAGCCCGTAATTATGTTTTACAGTATATAAATGTGCTAAATGTATATACTTTAATAGGTAAAGATATCACAAAACTATTGAGCTCTAGTGTGAAAGCAATGACGCATAAAAAAGGACAAGATCCACAAGAAAGCAAAAGGCGATTGACTGTTTTAACTATGCAAGTAGCCCAAATTTGTCAAAAGTTCAATGTAACATCGAATTATTATCATTATTATGACATGTGTGACAATAATTGTGACAATGTGTCTAAATATTTTGACATTCCAAGCCATATCTGGCTTGTTGATTATAAACAATGGCATTTGCCTTGATCCACTTTCATATGCTAAATCATATGATTTTATTAAATTTTCACGAGCAATATTAACTTCTTCAATTAGGATCCTGATCGTTTGTTTTTACTAAAAGTTTTAGGACTCTTTTTATTATAATCAGATGGCAATGACAGTCCTATCTATATACATATAAGTAAATATGTAATTGATAATATAAAAAAACAATTTATTTTAAAAAGTTTTTACCGGAAAACTTTTATTTATTATTATTATTATTATTATTATTATTATTATTATTATTATTATTATTAATTTAATTAATCATTTCAGTTAAGTCATCTGCCTATATTTAAATAATTTAAGAATCAAAATTAATTAAAAACCAACAATCAATCTTGTTCATTTGAAGAGAATATAATTTACTTGTGCGTGGAGATTTTTAAGTCAAAATTTAATCGGTAATACTAATAAATCCACGTTCTTTTCCCTTTTCCCTTTTTGGTTTTGTTTGTGGTATATTTAATATTAAATTATAATTAGTTTATTTATATTTTCCTATATTTTCGGTGTAATGATAACAAAAAATTGGGCTTAATTTTTATCACCAAAGAACCCGGTTCGAACTGGTTCATAGTTTCGGATTTTGGAACCGGTTCAAATCGGTTTCGTGCAACAAAAATCAAAAAAATATGGTAGGTAGGTGTACGTCATCTAAAGACAACACTAAAATCAACGATCATTGAAAGGCAATAACCCACAAAATTTTATGATAATAAAAAAATAAGCCAATAGAATCAAAGCTAAAGGACTAGACATTTTCTATTTGTTTACTCTTTTCATTGTCATAAAATTATGTGGGTTATTGCCCTTCAAATATTAATATTTGTAAATTTTTAAATTTTCGGACAATCTTTTTATTGGCCAATTTATATTAGTCATTCTGATTTGTCGGTAAAATCACCTGATAATATTTTGGAAATACAATTTTTTCAATTTAAGGTTGCTTGCTGAAAATTCTGCTGGTTGTTTTCTGGAGGAGTTTGGCAAGCAACCATAATTCAATTAAACTCCTTAATTGATGATTCCTTTGTGAATGATAAAGGTTTTCCTGGAGAAGAAAAAACAAAAATTTTTTTACATATAAGGACAAAACACATGATATCATGTGACTACATTTCAAAGCTAATTTTTTTGTAGCCTTTTCTTTTACCGGATTGATGTTAATATATCTTCCCTAATATTTTATTGACATTCACAAGAATCATCAATTAAACTCCTTAAATTGTTATATTTTAAAAGAATTTTTGTAAATTTAATCCAACTTTATCATATCTTTATAATGGTCATGTTTATATGGTGCGCGAAGTCTATAACCACTATTTACTGCGCCATACCGCTAAATTTCACCAAAAACTCTAAAACCAAAATTTGAAAATTATTCAAAAAATGATGATTTTTTTTTGATAAAAATTTATAAAGTCATGTGATTTTTAAAATTTTCTTAATTTGATTTATTATCAATTTTAATTATCAACAACATTGCTTGGAATTTTTCTATGAGATTTGTATCTCTTTTATTGCATATAAAGCTTCTAGACCTGTCAATCATTTCTATAAGCATCCATAAATCTCCAAGACCTGTGAGCAAACTTCCGAATTTTTTTGAGAGAAACAGAATTTAATGTCAATGGAACAGTTTTTTCTAATGACTTAAAGGTATAATCACAGTTTTCACGTGTATATTATTTTGCTGCACCCAAATAATCCAATAAAATTAAGTTTACAGTGGAACTTGGGTAAAAATGACTTTATGACCATAAGATTCAATAGTTTCTTCAATTAAAGATTTTTGATTAACAAAGTCAGGTTGAAGTTAAATATTTTTGACGCGGTGATTTTTTACAGCTACACAATACCAAATTTAGAGATGATAATCGTAGATTATCCTAAATTTAGACAAATGTGTTACTGCCCAAATCATAAAATGCATGTACTAAAAAGAAATTGAACTCGATAACCAATCAATATTTTGAAAAAATCTCTGTTATAATAAAGTTTGAGTCTCAATCTATGCAATAACAGAGTTATTTTTAAAAATGATTGACAGAAATGGACTTTTCTTCTTTCAAAAATCACATGCAAAAATGGTGGTTATAGACTTCATGCACCATAGGTGCTGCCCAAATTAAAAATCAAGAATCCCAAATTACTTTGTATATACCAAATGTACAAACCCCAATGTAGATCAATCTTTCTGCCCTGTTTTCCTAACCAATAAGCATATAATGTAACAAAAGGGTTGCTGATTACTTTCATGAGTCCTAGGCACTTATTTGTTGGGAGATGGAATGCTGTGGGTGTACAAAGTAGTATGGGATTTGGAAATTCTTTGACAGGCTGGCCCAAATTCACTTTGTACATTTTGAAATACCATAATCTTAAATGATTTGGGATTTGGACGGCATGTATATTTGTGTTTAAACAAATTATAAAAATCAAGATGGAACTTCTAATGGCTTGTTTGATAGGAAAAGACATAAAATTGATACTGAAGTGCTGAATTGAATAAAAATTTAAATGAATATGTACATTTAAATTTGGGTAATGGATAAAATGAATTTAACTTTTTTTTTCCAAAATTTGGACTCTGATACAGTCATTGTCATCTTTAGATGTCATGTACCATAGTAACAACAATTCAACAAATAACAAAAGAATTAATTAATAATAACTAATAATCAATAATAGTTCAAATTAAGTCCAAAAGAAAATGATGGTTTATATAATATAACAACAAATCATTGTATAGCTTGAGTCATCTAAACATGATCAATTTTATGCATCATCTTTGAAAACCATCACATGAAAACACAGAACACTTTTGGATTCAAACTCTTCATAATTTATATAATAAATGCCAAAGAATAATTCTATAAAAAGTTAGATGTAAAATATTTATTACTTAAAAAGTTATGGTGGTTTGAATGTTAGTAACTTCCTATATTTTAAATAATGTTGACCCTAAATTTTACCATCTTTGTATGATGGAAGTTTGAAAAAAACATAATTTCCCAAATGCAACTATAGGAATAGGCTGGTTAATCAAAAACATCACAGATACAATTATTTGTAGTGCTGAAATTATAAACCACAGAAAAAAAGTTGGACTATTGAACATATTTCACATAGTATTGGCAATAAATAATGAATGACAATGTTAATTACCCAAATGGGAAACTTTCAATTGCCCCAACACACTTTACAACAAATTCAATAACATACATCTTTATCTCAATATTCATTAGAGACACATGGAAAACAATACTAATTGAAATGGGGAAAATAAACAATATAACCAATAAATAAATTAAAAAATTAAAAAGAAAAAAAAACCAAATAAAAAAAAAATATCAGCAACAACATTAAAAATAATAATATAATAATAAAAACAACAACAAAACACAAATATTTCATCAAAAAACTGGACAATCAATCTCAATATGGATCCATCAAGAACACTCCATCAACTTGGTAATATCAAGGTAATGCAATCCAAGGGCTCCTTGCCCAACACAAATTAGATTACAATCTAATTTGTTAAAAAGAAAGTATATCATGCTTAATGGTTTAAGTGTACATGGGCATTTAATCAATTACAAATATATATATAGAATTATTATTATTAATTACTCACACATGTATATTTTTGCTCAGAAATTTCTGCACAAATTTATTCCTTCATCTAGAAAAAATTATATCTTGAAGTTTATCAACCAAATCGCCGCAATTGGAGATTAATTATCTCTTTTGGGTTATTACAACTGATGATCACCTCTCCTGCCCATATTTTTCTTATTTGCGTAAATATAAATTTGAAGTGAAAGTAATGCTGCTTTTGAATAACTATAGCTTTACATAGAGAGCCTCTATCAGCATGGAACAGAATTCATTAGGAAACTATAATGACTTAATTATAAATTTTTTTAAACCTGATTGGTTACATATCGAAATTTCTATATATTTTGTATGAAAACAACAAATCGATAAATGATGTCAGAAGCTAAAGAAACGAATATGGAGTCAACAAATGATGTTTGAACTATCAAACTTTCATTGACCATGTTATTTTAATTTACCATAAATCCAATGTATTGGATTAAAAATTGCATGCACCACAAAGATTTTCATTTCTATTTTTTGAGTGGTCGCACAGCTAGCAGTAGCATTTATTATTATTATCGCCGCCGTTATTCCTTTTTTCAAATTCAGAATATTTATTATAATGAGTTTCACAGTTCAAGAATCAGCAGCAACAGCAGAAAATTTAACATTAAACAACTTCAATTGTAATAATAATAATAATAATAATAATAACAATAATAATAAATTACCTTCTTCTCATTCACAATCACAATCACAGCATCACATCAACACTTCACTTCACCTCATTATTGATCCACTTCAAATAAATTTCACTGCCAACAACACTTCTATTCCTACTACTACTACTACTGCTATTCATAATGCTAATAGCCTTATTAATTATGAGCTGACAGGTTTAAATTCTTTAACACCTCCAAGAAGTACCAGCTCAACTCCAAGTCCAGGACCAAGCCCACTTCTTCGCCCAATATCTTGTTCAATGACACCAATAACACCCTTAGCATTAAATAATGAAAATTCTTACTATGATAAATATAGCAACAATAATAATTGTAGAGAAAATGGATATTTTTTTAATTTTCAACATCAAGAACAAATAAGAAAATATAATGAATATATTAATGCTAATATTAATAGTAGTGATAATAATATTGGTGGTAATAATAATAATAATATAATTAGCAACAGTAGTAACTTATCAATATCTTCATCTATTAATCCTGACAATTCAACTTTAAAATATGGTAAGTTCTCTCCCTTTCTTTAATTCATTTGATCAATAAATTAATTAATTGACTTCAATTTAATTTTCTCCCAATATTTAAAATCAAAGAAGAAAGAGCAAAAGAGGAGGTAGAGGAGGAGGAGGCAGAAAAACAAGATATACAATTAAATGAAATATTGAATAAATTTAATAATATGAATACAATTTGACTTTTATAATCAATATTGAAACATAATAATAAATATTCTTATTTGTAAATATTATTTTGTATTTTTTATTTTGCTAAAATATTTATTTATTATTTTCTAGAAAAAACCTGTGTATAAATAAAATTTGCTCTGTATTTTACAATAAATATATTTTAAACAGCTATTGATTTATCAACTAATTGTCCGACATTATTATTACACTGGAATTCATCCTAATAATAATAATCATATTTAGTTAACGATAAATCATTCCATAATAAATATCAAAATAATAATTTGATCACTTACTAAATCATATATTACGCGAACCATCAATGAACAACTTGGACATCGTGCAATGTCTTCTCCATCCATTAAGTCTTCCTATTTATACAAAATGTAATTATTATTAATACTTATACATATGTATTTATATATATATATTTATATATCATCATCATTGTTATTATTGTTATTTATTATTATTATGACTATACCAATGTGATTTCAAAACGGTCTCCACACGGACAAGGATAATGGTATGTTTTTGTTTCTTCCTCAAATTCAAAATCTTCTAAACATTATTTTCGGAAAATACAAAAACAATTTAACAAATGAATCAAATGTGGAAAATTCAAATCAGCGAGATCAAAAACTTTACCAATCTCTACTTCATCATAAAAACTTGTCATTTTAATTAATAATTTACTATGTGTCCTTAGTAAAAAGTGAATATATATGTGTGAAGGAACGAAATATGAGAAGAGGAAATGAAGAGAAAAGATTGATTGATTTTTTATTGGTCAAGGATTACCAGAGTAACATAATAAAACTTATATTTGAAGTTACACGAATATCGAAAATTTGATTAGTAAGTACTACCTTTATATTTATAATTGTAAATAAATTTATTTATAAATTATTACAACTTTCCTATATATATATATATATAAATTTTTTAATTTGTTTGGTCAATCAAACAACAAAAAAAGAAATACACAAGAAAAAGTGAAGTGAAATAACTAACGAAACAATTATTAACGAAAAAAAAGGTGCCATAATAAAAATTATTCGTCTACAATATACAACACATAACAGTCAGTATATATATATATAAATTAATATATATATATATACACACAAATATATATACAAGTTGGTTTGCTTAAAAGGAAAAATAGTCAAGCTGGGTTCACAGGTGTCCTCAAACAGTAGTGGAGCTTCCCACTCTGATGAAAGTAAGTCAAGTGACACCCAGGCTTACAAACAGTTTAGTCATGATAGGCCAACTTCAAAGCTAATAAATTCAAGACCTACTGCTACTCAAGCTCAATCCACTAGTCCTCACTTCAATCACACTAATCATAATGGAAAAAAGAAAAAAAGAAGCGATAAAATATTTGAGATTAGTAAGCCAACAAAATTTGAACATGGAATTCATGTAGAATATAATAACGAAAGTGGCAAATTCGTGGTAAGTATCGAGTATAATTAATTAATTTTAATTTCTATTTTTATTATTATTATAATAATAATACTTGATATTTATTAAATTTCATTTATTTCACCATTCATTCCTTATAAAATCTATACATTCATTTACTTATTTATTCATATCCTTAGGGATTGCCAGATGTTTGGCAAAAAAATTTACCAAGTGATGATATACTTAATACAAAATATATAAATCCACTTTTAGTTCCAACTCTTGAACCATCTGGTATTTCCTTTCCCTCCGTTAATAATAATAATGTTTATTATTTTAAAAATTTTAATTCATATTATTATATTTATATATTAATAAATAGATGGAAATGGAGCGCCGGGTAAAAATATAGGAATACCCTATAATTTTAAACATAATGTACATGTTGGACTTGATGAAGCTGGATTTATGGTATGTCCAAATAAATTCATTCAGTGCGATTTTTAATTATTCATATATAAATACGTAAACAAATAATTAATTATTTAGCAACCCATTCAAATTTAATTTATACATAAATCGATAAAATATTATACAATCAAAAACCAAACCAAATAGGTTGTACCGCCAGAATGGAAGGCCCAACTTGAATCTGCAGGAATTACCGAAGATGATTTTAAAAATCGTCCCGAAGCAGTAAATAGATTATTACAGATGTTAGCAAATGATAATCAACAACGTCAAATTTCCTCCTTATCTTCAACGACTAATATTGCACATCAGCGTTCTGTATCCTTGGGTTCTCACACTCCACAACCTTACATACTTCCATCACCTTCTCCCTCCCCATCAACTCTTAATGTCAATCCTGATAACAATGGCAGCAATTATCCAACCTTAATAAGGAAAGGTTCAGCATCATTATTAAAATCTCCTGTCAGAAAATATTCAAGTCCTTCTCTTTATCACACTCAACCAAATGACTTATTTAATAATTCTTCGGAATTAATAGATTCATCGTCACCATCGATCTATCACAACAAAATCAACAACAACAACAACAGAAACAGTAATAATAATAATATAAATAGTCAAAGAAAAGGTTCGGCAAGTTCACAAAATTCTGCAAATGAATCAACCAGCTCATTTCCTTTCACCAACACATATTACGACACTCCTTCGATAGCTTCTCCAAGATTACCAAGGACTTCTAGTTTGTCTTCCCCAATAAAAGAATCCCAATCTACCATCAATAACACAACTAGTTATTCGCCTCAAAATCAAAATCATTATAATTATAATTATAATAGCGATAACAATGATTCATTTATCAACAGTCCTGTTTCTCCAAGAAAATACTCAAATTCTTCTTCTTCTTCAAATAACAATATCTCTACTACGCATTTAAGGGATTCTACAAGTTCAATAATAAATAATAGTAATAAAGATAGGCCTATTTCTTCCACTTCAAAAACAAGTGATCATCCTTATTCTCCTATAACAATGCGTGACAGGCCAACGTCACCAATTCCATCCTCACGAGACAGGCCACTGTCACCAAATCCATCGTCGCGTGACAGACCAATGTCACCGATTCCATCTTCACAAAAATCACCTTATAAAATAAGAGATTCTCGTGGCGCAGAAATAATTAATATTCCACCACCACCTAACTATCGACCCACATCACCTATACTTCCACCACCACGTAACAACAGCAACAACAACAGCAATAACAATCCTCTAAAAGTAGGTGTAATTCCACCAATTCCTACCACAAAAAAAATTGAACCACCTCCAAGACCTCCCCACAGACAAAATAAAGCCCGACCAATTAGCCAAAAAGTTGAGGAAGAATCATCATCATCGTCATCATCATCATCACCTAAAAAATCCAAATTTAACATACCAAATACTACAATTACTACAACCACCACTACATCACAAAAGTATTTATCAGATTCAATTTCTAGTTCGCAAAAAGACTATATCAAGAATATTCACAATAAAAAACAATATAGTGTTGGTTCACTGCCAGCATTGTATATAAATAATGAAAATATTCTAGAAAGTAAAGGATATACTAATAATGATGATAATAATAATAATGATGATGGTAATATTGGTGCAAAAAATGATTTATTGAGTCTAAAACAAGATAAAAAATTACGTTCTTCTACCAATTCTTTGCCCAATTACCTTCCCTCTATGAACGATTCTGCTAGCAATAACAATAATAATGCAAATAATAATAATTACAAATTGAATGTAGTAGTAAGTTCTTCTATTAAAAAAAGTTCATCATTATCAAATATTCCATATGAAGAGGAACAAAAAGAAAAATCATCGTTTTCAAAAAAGTATTCAGCAATTACAGAATCTACATCACCGTCACCAACAATATCACCATCCACATCACCATCCATATCAACGCCTTTATCAATGCCAATATCAACGTCATCATCGATAAGACAGAATGATGATGATTCAGTGCAATCCTATATAAATCCTGACTTGTTACCGAAAGAAATTCGTCATTTAGGTTTGTTTCAAAGTTTGTTACTGCTAATATCATTACCATCATCATTACTTATATAAAATTATTAAAATTATTTTTTAGTTGAAATTTTGGATATTGGAGAACCAAATGAAATTTACGATAACATGTTACCGATTGCTGAAGGTGATTCTGGAGAAATATATTCAGCATTACAAAAAAATGCCGACAGGATGGTAAAATAATAATTTCAATTATTATCATCATTATCATTACTATTATGATAAAAATAAAATAGCATTAATTGTAATATAATAATAATAATATTTAGGATGCAATTAAGGTTATTCCTTACGAGAAAACAAATAAATTGGATGTTGTAAAGAATGAATTAATGAGGATGAAATCAAGTCAACATCCAAATATAGTTGAATATATTGGTTGTTACTACACTGTTGATTCACTTTGGGTAGCGATGGAATGTATGGAAGCATCATTGGCTGATATTATATCGATGTATCCTGATGGTCCAAAAATCAACGAATTTCAAATTGCAAGATTTATGAGAGAAACACTAAAAGGCATCTCATATTTACACAAATCACGAGTCATTCATCGAGATATTCGAAGCGATAATATATTATTAAATAATAACGGTGACATTAAAATTGGTAATAAATAATTCAAAAGATAATTCATAATGTTAATTCCTAGAATTTAAAGAAAATTTAACTATAATAATGATGACATTAATTTATTATTACTTTATAGCTGATTTCGCACAATCTATACAATTGACCGACAAACAACCTTATTGTGATTCGGTGGTAGGTACGCCGTATTGGATGGCACCAGAAGTTATATTAGGGTCACAATATGGCACCAAGGCTGATATTTGGAGTCTTGGTATTGTGATGATTGAAATGGCCGAAGGAGATCCACCATACATTGAACATCCCGGATTGAAGGTAAAAAAAAATTTTTTGTATGTTATGAGACCAATTTATTTGTCATTTATTTAATCAACTATTATTTTTATTTTTATAATAGGCAGTTGTAATGATAGCCAAACATGGAATTCCTGATTTAGTTAATCCTGAGAGATGGACAAAAATATTCAAGGATTTCCTTGCCAATTGTATAGAAACTGATACAACTAAACGAAAATCTGCAGATGAATTGTTAACAGTACGTATTATTATGCAAAAATATTATTATTAACAATCCTGCTATTATTTAAAATATTAATTTGCATAATTACATTTCTTATTAATAATACATACTAATTAAACAACTATTATTTAATTAGCATCAATTTCTACAAAATGTATCGACAAACAGTGAGATTCAGAGAATGTTGCAAGAATTTCGTATGCTTGAAGGGAATGAAGGAGGGGAGGAGGAAGAGGAAGAAGGAGATGAAAATCATAATGTTAATGGTGACATCAATCAAAATGATGTGAAGAAAGAATATCATAATGTTAATGGTGATATCAATCAAAATGATGTGAAGAAAGAATATCATAATGATTATGATTATGATTACGATGATGATAATATAATAAATGATTATGGTTATGAAGAAGATCATAATGAAATATATTCTGGATATGTAAATATTGTTAGCAATAATGGAAATGAGGAGGTAGATGATGATGCTGATTATTATATTAATAGCATTTCAAATAATTTTGACGATTCTAGTATTGGATAATTATATTATTGTTTTTGTGGGAGGGGGGGGGGAGTTGGGAAGAAAATTTGGAAAAAAAATTTTTTTGAACATTTAATTAATTATATTTATTTTAATTTTAATTTATTTAATAATTAATTATATTGGCAATAATTAGAGTTTTTTTAGTAATACTTAATAATAATAATAATAATTTTTCTTTTTATTTAAACAATTTTTTTTTCCACATAAAATTTAAATTTTTCGATTGTTTATTTGTTTTTTATTAAGAGAAGCAAACATTTAATATAATATATATATATTATATTATGTATTATATTTAATTTTATTAGTGACTAGAGTACATAAATCCTAGTAGCGTTAGGTTAATTATTTAGTATTGAATGAGCAAGGAATTTTTTTTGTTTTGAAAAGAAGAAAAAATCCAAAAACATTTATGAATGTAATTATTAATTTTGTTAATTAAATAATTAATTAATTAATCAAACCAAACCAAACATTTTTAATCATTAAAACAAAAAAAACACCATTTATATTAATTGTGATTCTTCTTTTTCCAAATAAATGTTAATCCATCAAAAATTGGTAATAGCAATTGATCAACCCTTGGATCATTTTTCACATATTCATTAAATTCATGTATATGTTTAGCTACTCCCATCTTTGATGGTGGTATAATTTGTGTAGTTGGTGTGGTGATGGATAAATGAGGCACTTTTTCAACATAACCACTATAAAGCACTTTTATATTTTTTTCCTCAATTGTTAATATTTCATAATTTGATATTTCATGATTAATTAATTAATTAAAATAATATTTACCATTGTCAACAATAATGAATCCATCGTCACTTAATAGGTCACAATCAAGTATAATGTTTAAATAATTAATATAACCAGACTTATTTGCATCTAAAATTATTAAATGTATAACAAAAATTAATTAGTTGTTTTGATGCCAAAAAATCATAAACATTACTTGCCTAGGAAAATCATATCAAATTTCTTTGACTTTTCTAAATTTTTTATTCTAAAAACAAAATAAAATTTAAAATATATATAAATTACAAAATCATAATCATATATTAATATTTACGTGTCAATAGCATTTCCAACTTTTACTTCAATCAGATCACTGAATCCACAATACTCGATATTTTCTTTGGCTTTTTTCGCATAATCAGGATCAAGTTCACAAGTTACTATTGTACTTTTATTATTACTTGCAATTCCACTTTTTCGTAATCCTTCAGCAAAACACAAACTGGAATAACCGAGAAAACATCCAAGTTCGAGAATGCCTTTTGGTTTAATTATAGAAGTTAAAAATGTCAAGAATGAACCTTGAAGTTCGCTAATAGCATAATTTTTTCTTGGATGATTCAATGTTTGTTGATATATTGTTCTTAGAGCATCAGGTGGTGGTGTGGAATGTTCGGTTGCGTATGGACCAGAATTTAAAAATAAAAATGGAAATTGTGCCCGGAAACTATTTGTAGTATGAAAAGCTTTCTTGGAAATATCATTTGCACTCTTGGATATCAATAATTTATAATGTTGATGCAATAATTGACGACGACAATGATAAAATTGTGAATACGGAAGGATTGAAAATTTTTTAAGGAATTTCATGCTCAATTTTTTTATATTTTATGACGAGTCCCATTCTCCAAAAAGGTATAAAACCGGTTTATTTGCTAATTGTCGATTTTTTTTTTTAAGCCTTTTAAAAAAAAAAATTTAAATGGATTCAACAATTTTGGAAAAATATTTCAATGAAAATGAAAGATTATTAAATACAGAAAATTTTTATGATGTAAAAATATATCTTGGTGTAGAACCAAACATTAAAGAAGTTCATGCACATGCATCCATCATATCTGCTCATTGTCCATTTTTTAACAATGTATTAAATGATGCAACAAAAGAAAATGGATATTATATTGTCAAGGAAGCTAATATTAGTGAAAAATGTTTTAAGCCTATTCTCAAGTAAGTTTAAATAAATTTATTATTTATTTATTTATTAATTAGTTGAATATATATTAATGATAATAACCTGTTTAATGAAAGATTCCTATACACATGTAAAATTGATTTTGAAAATTATTCTGGAGCTGAGATATTAGAGCTAATAATTGCAGCAGATCAACTTGGTATTGAGTCATTTTATGAATATATTATGAAATACTTTATTGAAAATTGTGAAGATTATATAAAAGAAAGTCCAGTTAAAATTTTACAATTAATTTATGGTAATGAAAAATTCAAGGAATTGAAAAATATTTATTTGGAAAAATTTTGTGAATATAGTGAAAAATTATTTGAATCAAGTGAATTTGAATTGTTGGAAAAACCAACTCTATTGGAAATTCTCAAAAGAGATGATTTTTCTGTTAATGAGATGGTTATTTGGGAAAATATTCTTAAATGGGGATTGGCAAAACATCCAGAAATCAATAATATCAATGTTGAGGATTGGTCATCACAAAATTTTGCCGATTTAAGCAATACATTAAAAGAATTTCTTTTTTTAATAAGATTTCAGGATGTTTCTCGAGATGATTTTTTTAATAAAATTGAGCCATATCAAATGCTTTTCCCCAAGACTTTATGGAAGCCCCTTTTACATTATTATATATTTCCTGATAGACAACAAATATTGAGTTTATTACCATCAAGGAATCCTAAATTTGAAATTTTGAATTCAACGCTTGAATCATTGACAATCAATCAAAATCTTACTTTACTTTTTGCAAGTTGGATTGATAGAAAAAGTCCACAATATAGTTCATTAAAGGAAGTTAAATATGAATTCAAACTTATATATTGTAGTAGCAGAGATGGTTTAAGTGTAGCTACCTTTCATCAAAAATGTGATAATATCAATAAAACTCTTGTAGTTGGCAAAATACAAAATTCAGATCAATTAGTAGGAGGTTATAATCCACTTGATTGGAATTTAAATAATGGAGCTGAGATATTTAAAAAGACAACTGAAAGTTTTATTTTTAATATTAGAAATAGAAATGATATTAATTCTGCACAGTTTAGTTATGTTATTAAACAAAGTGCAATTCGCTGTCATCCTTCAAATTTAGCTATTTTTGGTGGTAATAATGATCTTATTTTTAGAACACATAATACTGTTAATAGTTGTAATAGTAATTATAATAACATTAATATAGTAAATCATAGTAAATATGATGAATTAGAAGTATTTCAAATAATTGATAAATAAAAATTTTAATACTATTTTAAGCAATAAATTTATATATATTATATTTTTAAAGACTATTTCTCTTTATACTTTTCTCATTAATGATGAACAAAAATGTCTGACCATACATACATAATAATAAATATAAAATTTTATGTTGCTTAGGTTTTGAAGTGTATATGTATTCATAACTTTTATTCTAAAAAAAATAAATTTCTTTCTCAAAATAAAACTCAAATAAAAAACAATGGTATCTAGTTGGCTACCAATTGTTAAAATACATGCTCCGGTCCTTTTTAATGGAGTTCCTCTTTCAGAATAGACTTTTTTGAGGTTAGGTGATTGTGAAGGCAGTTTTCCCCCTCAATCTGATTTGATTATTAAACTCATTTGTAATTAAAGGTGATAGATTCTCCTCCAAAATTATAATGACTCATCTTCTGATCTACTCTAACTAAAGGGTCCACTTTACCAGAAAAACCATTGTCCCACCACCATGTTTTATCAATAGGATGAGATTTTCAATATCATAATGTTCGCCTATCTCCACGTTAAACACGAGTTGGTCGAAATATTGTAAATCACTCCATATCACTGACTTCCACTTCCTAACACTCCAGCTTTCAGCCATTTTCTCTTTGTTTCATCAAAGGGGCGTTATTGCTCCAACTCATGAATAAATCTTAAGATTATGGAAGTTCCTACAAATCGTTTTGGTAGAAATCTCAATGCCACTTGTTTCTATGAGTTTCTCTTTTAGTTGATGATTATTTTCCTTTCAAATCAGCCGATTTGGTTTTTTGGGCCTTTTTTTCAAACCTTATGTCTTATTGTGTCTCGATGTTAAACACGAGTGTTTTTAATGTGTAAACTGGTCGGTAGAATGATAATTAACCCTAAAAAAATTATTTGCTCCGCTAAAAAAACTAATTTACTATCCATCAACCCGTCAAACCAATGGCCCCACCTCAAAACCAATGGTAGTATAAAGTATTCATAACATTATGATCATACCGTACTGGATTTTGGGGTTCGAACAAAATCAGCGCATATGTTAATTGTTTTTGATCTAAAATTTTGGACCTTCTACTTCATGTATATAGTACTTTCAACATCATCATCATTATAATAGTGAGTTATTGTGTATTGGACAGTGCTATATGGAATTTTTTAATACCTTAGAGATTCTCTTCATAGAAATCTCACTTGAGATTTTACCTCTTTCAATTATTGTTAAGTTTGCATTTTTTACTTTTGGCATTTTAAAATTTAAATAGCACAAGGCAGCTAGCCTTTTGGTTAACTTTGGGCCATACTTTGTCGATTAATTACAAGCTTTTATATTCAATTAAGTTATTTCACGGATTTATTTAATAATTCTCTTACTTACTGCCTCTTAGAAAGTTTCGGCAAATCTGTAGGCACATTTTATGGTACAATAAATAAATGCGGCACTTTATAAAGCGGCAAATTCTTTCCTAATTTCCTTTTACTTTTGCTTTTCTTGGCCGTTAAAGACTTTGTTAATTTGGTTTCTTTATAAGACCCATTGAACTGCTTATTTAACAGCCGTATGTTTACAACAATAATAAGTAACGATATGTGATAATGGCCTTAATTAATAGATGTCAATATTTTATATTAGGTTAACCAATAAATGATAGTTATGTCCTTGCGGTATAGGTATAATTAGCATAGTGGACATTCGTCGTTACACAATATGTTACACAGAGCCCGTTGTTCCTGAAACTTCACCAGTATATAGTTGTCACCTCTCTAGGTTCATGAACAAATTGCGAAC